GCCTTTTTCATTTAAGGTGTTGAAGGAAATCCAAGACACCGTTGCACAGTATGGTGTTGGGTCTGCTGAGGTTATGCAGACGATCCGATTACTTGCTGCTAACCTGCTGACGCCTTTCGATATTCGTTCTGTGGCTCAGGCTCTTTTTGACCCTGTGGAATTTGACGTGTTTGAGGACAAGTGGGCCGCTTTAGTGGCCGGTGCAGTACGGAAGAATGCTACGCGGGGGCAGCAGGATCCCAGACGTGTAGCTACCGCTGACATGTTGATGGGCACAGGTAATTATGTTGATCCTCAGGGGCAGGCGGGATACAATCCTCTCGTGCTTGAGCAGTGCAGGACGTTAGGCTTAGCAGCTGTGATCCAGGCCTTAGAAATGGCTGCCCCGATGGAACCCTTTCTGACTGTTGTTCAAAGGGCCGATGAGTCATTCATGCACTTTGCATCGAGGTTGACTGCCTCGGTGGAGCGGCAGGTGGTAGAACCTGAGCTAAGGCGAATGGTCCTTGCGAGATTTGCTAGGATCCACTGCAACGCAGAATGCAAGAGAATCATACAGGCTCTTCCTGAAGGGGCTACACTTTCACAGATGGCAGCGGCCTGTGCAGACCTAGGCCCCTCGGTTCGGAAGGCGGATGCTTGGGCTGCTGCTGCGCAGCCGGTCTGGGCAGCACCGCAGGGCTGGCAGCAGCCCCGGGGTGCTGCTCAGGCGAGCACCAAACGGGGGAAGAAAGCACAGAAAGGAAAATTTCCCTCGTATGTTTGTGGCCGGTGTGGAAGGCCAGGCCATCCTGCAGAGGTTTGCAAGGCGACGGTTCATGTTAATGGCCAAGCACTCCCGGGCCCGGGAAACGGGAAGCGGAGCGCGAAGGGGGGGCGCGCTCAGACACAAGTTCCTCTCCAGACCCCAGAGCCCATGGAGGTCTGCTCGGCCAGCTTGTCGCCAGCACCCGCGGGTCAGCAGGTGTGGATGTCTGCACAGCAGCAACAGTCGTGTTAGACTCTTGCAAGGTGCACAAGGTTCCCCTGGACGCCTTTGGTCCCTTGGGTGAAGGCATGAGCGCCTTCCTCATGGGGAGGTCTAGTGCCACCCTTCAGGGCGTCATTGTGCACCTGGGTCTCATTGATGCAGACTTCACAGGGCAGATTTGTGCAATGGTTTCCACACCCACACCCCCTGTTACGATCCCAAAAGGGACACGGCTTGCTCAACTTGTGCCTTTTAAGTCTTCTGTGCGCAGGACGACTGACCGGTTGCGAGGTGATGGCGGTTTTGGATCCACTGGGCCGCCTCAAGTTCACTGGACTGCTGTCCTGACCAAAGACCGTCCCGAGATGCTGTGTACCCTCTCCATCCCTGATGCAACACCGTCAGAGATCCGCCTGCGCGGGCTCCTTGACAGCGGCGCTGATGTCACGGTTCTCTCCCTTGCCGCCTGGCCTCCGGACTGGCCCCTGGATCCAGCGGAGACGTCTGTTGCGGGCCTGGGGGGAACAGCACGGTGTTATGTGAGCCAACGGCCTGTGCTGGTCACAAACCCAGAGGGACAGACGGCCTGGATTAGGCCTTATGTTACTTCTTCTCCTGCTAACCTCTGGGGGAGGGATGTTCTATCTGCGTGGGGGGTGCGCATTGGGACGGGTTTTTGATGGGGGCCACTGCAGCGAAGGGCGCAGAGTGTCCTACGCCTCCTATACGGTGGCTGGTGGATACACCTGTTTGGGAAAACCAGTGGCCCCTCCCTCAAGATAAACTGATCGCCCTTCGGAAATTGGTGCAGGAGCAGCTGGACCAGGGTCGTCTGGAGCCTTCTAACAGTCCCTGGAACACCCCTGTTTTCTGCATCAAAAAGAAGTCTGGGAAATGGAGGTTGTTACAGGACCTCCGGAAGGTCAATGCTGTCATGGAAGGCATGGGAACATTGCAGGCGGGCATGCCATCGCCTACCATGCTTCCTGCAGGCTGGCCGATCTTCATCGTGGATTTGAAGGATTGTTTCTTTACAATTCCTTTGCATCCCGATGACAGACCGAAATTTGCCTTCACGGTGCCAGCAATTGACAATGATGAGCCTGCACAGCGATATCAATGGAAAGTTCTGCCACAGGGGATGCGCAATTCCCCGGTCATATGCCAATGGTATGTGGCCCGTGCCTTGTCTGGAGTTCGCAAGCAGTTTCCTGATGCACGTCTGTATCATTATATGGACGACATCTTGGTGGCTGCGTCCACTCAGGATGAGCTGCTGAGGATTCAGCCTCGGTTGCTCGATGCTTTGCATGCTCATGGGCTGCAGGTGGCTCCAGAAAAGGTTCAACAGCAACCTCCTTGGAAGTATTTGGGGGTCAAAATTCTGGAACGGACAATCCAACACCAGGAGGTGCAATTTGCACACTCGGTGAAGACACTGAATGATGTTCAAAAACTGATGGGTGTCATCACCTGGTTACGTCCATACTTGGGACTAACCGATGCACAACTGTCTCCTGTGTATGATCTGTTGAAAGGAGACTCTGATTTAAAATCACCTCGCACATTGACCCCTGAGGCACGTCAGGTGCTGGAGGAGGTTCAGCAGGCTGTTTCTGCCCGTCAGGTTTATCGCATTGATCTTTCCGTTGATGTCGCTGTGTTCGTTACCACTCCAGATTCGCATCCCACAGGTATCATTGGTCAATGGAGTGACAAATGGTCCGATCCCTTGCACATCTTGGAATGGGTTTTCCTGCCCCATCAGCCGCAGAAGACGGCAACGACATTGGCTGAGTTGATTGCTCGGTTGATAATGAAATGCCGGCAACGGTGTTTGCAATTGATGGGTGCGGATCCTGCAAAGATCATACTCCCGATATCCCGGGAGGACTTTGACTGGAGCTTTGCACACTGTGTGTCCCTGCAATGTGCTCTAGAAAACTTTTCAGGGCAGATCACTTATCATTTGCCCAGCCACAAGCTACTGCAGGTGGCAAAATCTATGCAGATCTCTTTGCGGCCCAAAAATAGTCAGGAACCTGTGCAAGGACCCACCGTCTTTACTGACGGTTCGGGGAAAACAGGAAAGGCCATTGTTACTTGGAAGGACGGATCTGAGTGGAAGGTTCTGAAAGGTCATCAGGATGGGTCGGCCCAAGTGGTTGAGTTGAGGGCCGCTGTTATGGCATTTGAGAGATTTTCCCAGGAACCTTTCAATTTGGTCACGGATTCTGCCTATGTGGCTGATATCGCACAGCGGTTGGGTCACTCAGTTTTGAAGGAGGTCAGTAACCCTGCCTTGTTTCATTTACTGAGGACCTTGTGGTGTGCTATTCAGGCCCGGGTTCATCCGTTTTACGTTCTGCATGTGAGAAGTCACACCAATTTACCAGGGTTTGTAGCAGAAGGTAACGCGAGGGCTGACAAGTTGGCTAATCCGGCGTGGGTAGCACCCCAGCCTGATACACTCGCACAGGCCAAGGCATCACATGGGTTTTTCCATCAGAATGCACATACTCTGCAGAAGCAGTTTCAGCTAACGCCAACAGAGGCTCGTAGCATTGTTGAGTCCTGTGACGACTGCCATGCACTTGCTCCGCCTTTACCAGCAGGGGTAAACCCTAGAGGCCTTAGGGCCTTGGAGCTTTGGCAGACTGATGTCACCCAGATTGCCGAGTTTGGCCGGCTCAAGTATGTGCATGTCACGGTGGACACGTTCTCCTCTGCGATGTGGGCTTCCGCTCACACTGGAGAAAAGGCTCGTGATGTCATTGCCCACTGGAGGCAGGCCTTTGCCGTTCTAGGCATACCTTCTGCTGTGAAAACTGACAATGGTCCTGCTTATGCATCGCAGCAGGTGCGGCAGTTCCTACAGTTGTGGGGTGTGTCACACAAGTTTGGTATCCCCCATTCTCCAACCGGCCAAGCTATTGTAGAACGCGCTCATGGTACTCTGAAGCGGGTTCTTCAAAAACAAAAACGGGGAATGCAGGGTGAGACCCCGCACAGTCGGTTGGAGAAAGCATTGTACACCATCAATCATCTTACAGTGCAGCAGAATTCAAACAACCCTGTCATTTTAAATCATCATCTCTCATTGCAAGCTGCAGACGAGGCACATCAGCCTCGAGCAAAAGTTCGAGTGCGGAATTTAGTCACTAAACAATGGGAAGGTCCCTATGACCTTATCGCTTCGGGGCGCGGGTATGCTTGTGTATCCACAGATACTGGGGTACACTGGGTACCTTCAAGGTGTGTTCGTCCTGATCTGCAACCGCAGAGACAGAATCTGACAAACGGGCAACATAGAAGCCGTGACCAAACTGAAAGTCATCAAATGGATGGATCATCGAGTGATGACTCAGTTGAAGATGACGGTGGGTGATCACTCTGATGATTCCTCCACGAACAGACACTGAACCTTATTCATTTTTCCTTTTCTTTTAAACTAAAAAGGGTGAGATGTCGCCCTGATTCTTGAGTTTTCTTAAGCCTTCTGAATTTACATTCTATTAGGAAACTTTCCCACACAGTTTCTGTAAATAATGTATTGTTTTGCATTCCTCCATGGGGGTGGAGAGACTTGATGTACTAGTGCTTTGTCCAATGTCTTTGGAGAGGTGGCCCGTTCACTCTCCAATCCACTGTCACCTTTGGAGAAGTATAAAAGTTGGAGTCAGAAAATAAACGCTCTCTTTTTTGCCTTGCAAGGTAGCAATTGGCTCGCGTTTGCTTTCTCGTGTCCTATAGCGACAGGTATGGAATTAAAATTTCAGTATAATATATACATATATATAATTTTAATACCAGGCTCAAGGGGAACAATTCCTTACGGTTATTTCATTGCTTTAGAAAGTAAGGTCCATACTTGCTACCACACCACAAAGGAAGCTAACAATAAAAACACTTTTTTTTTTTTAACTTAACTCTGAACAAAGTCAAGCAAAGAAATAGTTTACTATCCAGTCTTCCTCTACCCATAGCTTCAAAATTGCACTACTTGCTAATCAAAACCTTCTCCGTTCTCTTTTGTTAGTCTTACAAATTACGAAAGCCTGACAAATAGAGAAGTGTCTCTTTTTGCATAGAATTTACACAACAGAAAATGCATGCGTAGACTTAAAAATACAGATAGTTTAAATACAGAGGGACAGTCTGCATGACATGGACTGACACAGAAGAGCACAACTGTCAGGTAGAGATTATATTGGTTTTTAGATGGAGCGTGATCTCAAAGATGCAAAGCACTTCAAAGCTCAAGATGATGTCTCTCAGATCTTTCAGGACAAATGTGCATTCTGAAAAGCCACTAAAATCTGTCAGTCCTTCTTCTGCCTCTCCATCATGTACACTGTCCCTATGTATTTAAACTGACTGGATTTCTTTATTTGCATGACCCTTACTGCAGTAACCCTTACAGGAGAAATCACTTCACTGTCCATCATTAAAGGCTGACCCTTTAGGGATTAAGTCAAAAAATTGCTATGAAAATACTGTAAATATAACCCGATGAAACTACATACAGTCAACAGTCCATTCCTTCACTTAGAGCATTTTAAGAGTTTAAAAAGCAGTAACGTTTATTTTCAATTTAATCTCCTTGAATAAGCATTTTTCGAGGGAATCCGAATGGTTAAGTCATGTGGGTTGAAGTGCCACACCTCTGTTTGGAGGTGTAAAACAGTAAGCAATACATAAAGAGAAACCACAAATATTTTTGACATAATGAAGTTAAGTATAGATAGGTTCATCAGTTGAAAGCAATTATACACACACTTCAGCATTTGCAGAGATTCAAGCACTAATTTTTGACAGTATAGGCTCATCTACTATAAAACAAGAAGAGAGTAAGTAAGTCTAACTTGATGGAATATTTAAAAGACTAACACCTTGATCAGTAACTCACTTCTGTTTCCTTGTGTTCCACTAAGGCTTTTCTTACAAAAGTACCTAGAAAAACAACCAGGGTAAGAGGCTAGGACTGGAAACATAACCAAGCAGTCAAGTTGAAAAATATGTATCAGTAAGTCTGAAAGTTACGGACAAACTAAAAAAAACCCCTCTACTTACTGCAGCTCGAGCTTCTGCAACTTTTGCCTTCTTCAGTCTGGTTTTTGCAGCATCCAAATCCAGTCTTTTATTTTGTAACAGTTTACGTTCTTTCTGAAAGTGAGTTAAGTTAGTTTGTGAGTATGGGTACACATACAAGCAAAAGACTGTCTATTTGGAAATGCTTTTAATAAAGTATCATTAAAAAAAACTTCTTTAGTTCAAGAGAGAGGCAGAATTAGATCCTAATTATTCTCATACAGTTTATGCTCAATATGCATACTTCTCATAGAACAACAGTTACCAAACAAACGTTTTTATTGTTATTTTGCTTTTACCTCAGCAGAAAAACAGAAAATACTCCAAAGGCACAAATTTAAATTGATTTTTTCTGTATTACCTGGAGGAAAGTAATAATGAACCATTATCTACTACTACATTTTGAAGACTGACAGTTACAATTGGTGTGAAATTCTGAAAAATGTACAATTCAACTTACAGTAATAGTTTTGTAGTCTCCTTCAATAAAGTTTCTTAGAGGAGTGAGAAAGTTTATAGCAGAAGTTTGAATGAGTTCTCTGTCTGCTGCTCCAATTCGTTTTTGTGTTTCTCCACATTTAATGAGTGCATTTCCTGTAAAGGAAAAAATATGTTAACCATATTGTTCAGGCAGGAGGTTAACAAAACAGGTTGCTACTGTCAAGAAAGTTTAGGCCAGTAGTTTGAAAAACAATCCAATGCCACGAAAAGGGCCTTCAAAAGAAAAAAATAATGGGGAGAAAACCCCAAAACCTCAACCCCCACCCCACCAAAAACCACTCCAAACACCAACATAGAAACAAAAACCCCACACCAAAATAAATAATTACACAAACAACAAGCCAAACCATTTTTATTATGAACGATCACAGGCCAAGACAAGATTTCAATGAGACCTCATATTATGGCAATTCCATAGTGAACACCTATTTCAGAACTGGGTATCATACCTACTTACCTTAATCCAACAACTTCCTCTCCTATACAACATTCTTAACACAGGAGTATTTAGTAGCAAGGCAAAAGCTTATAAAGATATTGGAAAATAATGTGCTTTTCCTTACCCCCATCTACTCAAACTTTTAAATATCCATTTGCACATTAACTGAGCAATACTTTGAAATTTAGATGTAAGTGAAGTATTGAAAGTGAAGCTAATGTATCAAAAGGAATTTAAACAGCCTGATACTGCTTAGTTAGAATGGACACTAAATGTTCAGAGAAGACTTTATGACACCCATGAAACCCTAACAGTCTATCTACATGCTAACATTTTATCTTATTTGCCTGAATTCAAAAACTTCTGCAACTTATGGGACAGTGTGCCTGTAAGTACAATTCTGTTTGATGTTAAAAAGCAAGACTTGAGACTGAATGTCAGAAGGAACGCCACAGATACATAAAATCACGTGGAAGAGGAACAGAGCTTGCCATTATTGATTTTGGCATAAGAATTCTATAAAACATTTACTTTTATTTAATTGGGTTTTCCTTTTCTGAAAAAGAACATCATTCTTAACAAATATAAGGAACTCATTCTTCACAGAACAAAAGTTTTCCCTCCCACAGTAATTTTAAATAAAGACTTGAAGAGAGTAAACTATCAGAGTTTGCATACCATAATATATACAGACGCCTGCATTTTTCAGTTGTTTAAATTAAATTAACAGTAGAATTTGTATCAGCAACTTAAAGAGTTTTAGAGAACACTAGAATTAGACATTTAAATTAACAGCAGTGTAAAAATATTAGAGGTAATACCCCCAACCATCTCGTCATAGGTATATAAATTTTCTAGAGAAGGAATAAAATTTAGACCATGTTCCACACTCCTATCCTTATCAAAATATATAATATTAAGAAAAGCAGAAATACTGTACAGTTAGGGAGGTTTCTTAGTACAGAAGTCAATTTCAGGTAACATTTTCAATCCAAACAAGAAATAAAATCAATAAATACTGTCAAATGTGCAGATGTGTTCCTTTAACAAGGAAACTAAACTCCAAATGTAGTTGCTCTGCTAAGATAATTATCCATCCACTGAAGATGGATACCATTCCAACCACAAGTTTTGTTTCTTGGTTTGGAGAGAAACCTCATCACTGATCTTCTAGTATCCAGTTACACAACAAGTCAATTCAAACTGATACAAATGTCATTAAACAGTTTTATCTAGCGGAAGACAAGATATATAATTTTATATTGTTAAAAAAGCCTGTATCTATGGGTTTCTTTACTTCTTACCATAGGCTGTTCCTGGACCAAATTCATTCCCAGCATCAATCATATACTGGCCTAGTAACTCTGGGTTATTCATGCGACTTGGTGCTTTGCGGTCCAGCTTCTCGTAGACAAATTCTTCTATTCTGGCATCTAAAAATGTTTATTTGAAATAATTACTGTCATTTAAAGCACAACTCAGAAAATAGAAACAAGCAAACAAGGAAGAAAAAGGAACACAAAAAAAGAATTTCAAAATCCAGCCATTAAACTTAACATTAAGTGAACAATGTTAAGCTGGAGATCCTATTCTTGAAAACTGGAAACTGACCGTGTTGTGTTCAAGGGTTTCCTAGAGTCATCTGGGAAAGTGAAAATTTATACTTTTCTTCTCCATTAGCACAGTTATAAAGCTTTTCAGAATTTTGATCAGAAGTCTCCACAGTAAGAGCAGTAACAGAACACTTCTCCTTAAAAAAAACAGTCTTTTGTTCCCCCTCCAGAAAAAAGACCAAAATTGTTCACTACAATTAGCAGTAGGAATTAAGTTCAACAACTACTCTAAGTTCCCTATTAAAATATTCAGAAAGTTCAATAGCCCCAGAAATTATACCCTCCTTCCTGTGCCTCATGCTCCCTTGAAACACTCAAAGAAACCATTAAAAGTTATTTGAAAATGCTTCATTTTGAGTTCTCATTTTTTCTTAGTCTGAGCAATAAAATTATCAGAAAAACTTGTCAAGACTATGTGAGCATTACTACCCATCTATCATAATACTAAGCCACAGGAAGCTTAGGTGGAAAGGCCTCACACACCTAAACAGGGACTCTGTAATTGTAAAAGTAAACTCCTCAGATACAATATAAAGTTTCTCTGACCAATTGCATTCATTTCTCACCTAGCTGGCTTTATTTATACAGTCAGTAAGAACTAATTTCAGCCTACAATAGTACAGAAAACCACAGAGAAGCTTTCCAGTGAACAAACCGGCCACTTTAATACTACTTGTTAACTAGATAACTTTCAACAGCAATGGATTAAATAACTACTATTTCATGAAGGTCACAAAAATTAATCTAAGACAGACAATTATGGGTACCAGAGCATTTCCTGGCAGCAAGAGTGAACAAGAAATTATCAAAAGTGATTTGTTTTCTTTACTCAAGCCATAATATTTATTTTTTACTAGATCAAAGAATAACTGGAAAGTAATCTAAAATTATTTCACTATTACATGGGTCTGATCGATAGGTACAACTATAAACAGGACTGAAAGTGATTTTTCCTCCCCTGGACAGGGTCACTCCATTAACAACCACCAAAACAGCTCTCTGCAGCTCTCAAAACAGCTCTCTGATCCTTCTCCCAAGTAGGCCAGCAAACAGCTGAAGTTACATTCACAAAGATCACTGCTCAATGCTGAGTATTTTTAGCCATCAGAAAATGGACTGGAGAGCAGAACTGAGACACTACTATATATCATCCTTCTACTGAAACTTCTGTATGCACTTCCACTAGCCTCCAGTCAGTGTTTCAATATTTGAAGCTTAGAAGTTTCTGAAAAAGTCCAAGAGATACTACAAATACTGAATTGAATGAAAAAGACAACTATTTCCTCTGGCCTCAACAAAAGTAGAAATTTGAGCTAGAATATTCTGCAAGTTCTACTGCATTCTTCCCACATGATTAGTTGGTTTATTTTTAAAATACTGTTTTTCTGGAACTAAAACATGCAACACACTTCCAAAGTAATACTTCAAATATCTCTGTAATACAGAATTAATCTACTTGGCATTAGAGAAGTGTCAGCAGTGTATGATTTACCTTTACTAATAAATCCTAGCTCAGGATGTCATTACAAGGAGAATACTTGTTTTCAGAGCAGAGGTAGTAGCAGTTTCATAAAATTATCATTTGAGCAAACCCAAAGGAGGTTTAGATTTTTTTAGTAGTTCACCCACTGACTAGACACCAGGTCTTGACTTAAAATATAGATCTATACCCTAAGCAAATTCCTATAGCTCTAAACTCTAGTACAACCAAAGGATGACTCTGAAACTGATGTCCTCAACATTACTACTCATAGCAGCAATTTCAGAAACAAATAAAACACACAATAAAACTTCATTTCTTCTGCCCATGTATTTTTCTGTCACTGTTACAGTAAGACTCAGAAGTGCTGAAATTGTATTTGACACTTTTTTGTATTGTTTAAGTAAGGTGCTAATTCTTCAGTAATGGAATTGTTAAAGACAAGCATTTTAGTTGATCTTGCCTGCTTCAAGTGGATTTGCATTGTGCAGAGAGTTTAAATAATGAAATAATAATGACATTTCTGAGCCACTGTATTTACCCCATGAAGAACTTCAGAGTTCTTACAGCTACCCAAGATATCTGGAATTAGAATGGGAAATTCAATTAAACAGTAAACAATTCTAAAAAACAATCAACCTGAGACTGAGTATAGAACCAATACAACAATTTAAAAAGCTCTGTATAAAGTTTTCCCCATTTGAAAGGTTCAGGAGTACCAGCAATTGGCAGTGTCTCCAATTCTTGCCAGCTTTTCAAAATGTGCTTTCCATAACTGCATCCTTCAAATTTTAAATCTGCTGTATTTTGTCATCACTTATGCAATAGCTAATAATGCAGTAAATATTTACATTGGCATATCTATTAATTCAAAAGTTGAAAACAAAAACCTGAAGGGCTTCTTACTTGGATTTGGCTGCAACAATACTTCTGTTTGCTTCA